AGTCCTGAGGGATGAGGCACAGAGGCAGGGTTTTATTAGGGAAGGATTTTTGCCCCCACTCCCCCACCTCTGTCTAGCTCCACGACTGGCAGTTTCTCAATAGCCATTGGTTAAGTTGAGGTGAGTCTGGATGTAGGTTTAGAAGGCTGTAAGACAGGAATATGGAAGATTTCCCTTTTGTATGTAAACGTGGGGCCAACTACACATGGAGGGATAAGTGATAGTAACAAATATATGTGCAGCTCTGACAGTCTACAAAGCTCTCTATTAATCATGATCTCACTCTATCCTGAGAAGTGGTGAAAGTAAATAATTGTGCTATTTCCAATTTACAGGAGAAGCAACTGAGGCTCACAGGGTGACTTGCTTAAGGTTTGCAGAGCTGGGAGGTGGCAGACTATGCACTTGAACCCAGCCCTTCTGGTTCAAAATTCTGTGGAGTGAGAGAACGGGCAAAGGGATGTCTTGTCTGGAGCAGGGAGCCGCCGTGAGGCCGGTGAGATGGAAGTGCAGTGGGCGGGGGGCCTGGAGGACCGGGCCCAGGCAGGGGCCTCTGATCCAAGAGGCCCTGGGGCACCAGTTCAGGTTTTCCTGGAGGGGAGTGAGATGGGAGCCAGTAACCTGTGCCCTCCGAATGACTTCTGTAGGTGTGTTTAGTGACATGCTCAGCAGGTGTGAGAAGGATGGGCCTGTGCCAAAGGCCAAGCCCAGAGATGTTTCAGATTTTTCCCTTTATGCCCCTGCAACCAAGCCCTGCTGCTCCAGCACATATAAGAGACCCAGGCTGAGGGCTCTAGCATTCATGGGCCTGTCCCCTCTCGCTTCTCTCTGATACCTCTGAGCTCACTGTCTTCTCTCCAGCCATGATTGCCAGACAGCAGTGTGTACGAGGCGGGTCCCGGGGCTTTAGCTGTGGCTCGGCCATCGTAGGTGGCGGCAAGAGAGCTGCCTTCAGCTCGGCCTCCGTGTCTGGGGGTGCAGGACGCTGCTCCTCCGGAGGCTTTGGCAGCAGGAGCCTCTACAACCTTGGGGGGAACAAGAGCATCTCCATCAGTGTGGCTGGGTCCCGCCAAGGCGTTGGCTTTGGGGGTGCTGGAGGCTTTGGCGCCGGCAGCTTTGGTGCTGGTTATGGCGCTGGCAGCTTTGGCGGTGGATTTGGGGGCTCCTTCAGTGGGCGGGGTGGTGCTGGCTTTCCTGTCTGCCCTGCTGGTGGGATCCAGGAAGTCACCATCAACCAAAGCCTGCTGACGCCACTCAGTGTGGAGATCGACCCGGAGATCCAGAAAGTCCGGACCGAGGAACGTGAACAGATCAAGACCCTCAACAACAAATTTGCCTCCTTCATTGACAAGGTGAGCCATGCCCTCTGCCAGAGAAGGGAGTTAGAAGCGAGGGTTCCTGAGTCCTGGGATCATGGACCCGAGCCTGTCACAGGCATTGGGAAAACCACCAAACTTCTCAGGGCCTCAGTTCTCCAATTGAGTCTTTCTCTTTTGTCCCATGCTGGTGGGAAGACAGGATGCTTAAACACTTAAATGTCTAGAGTCCCCTGGACATACTGTGTGGTCCTGGGCAAAGCATTTGGCTTGTATGGTTCTGGTCACCCCAGGTATAAGTGGGTTCATTATTTCCTGCTTTTTCGCAGGTTCTGGTTTGGGAAACAACAAAGTTAATTCCATTAATAATTTGTTTTTTAAATTAATTAATTTTAAAGATGGTTTAGTATACATACATGTGGGGCACAACGTTGNCAGAGCAGCCCCAGAGAGCTGAGTCACCCCAGGATCGATGCCTGGATGGGTGAGTGTGGCACCTGGGTCCAGCAGTCCTGGTGCACCATGCCCCAGGGTCTCAGGCCTCTCGATGTGTGGCCAAGAATGATCAATCTTGGAGTAGACTGAGTGGGCACCCTTGCTCTTCTTGCTAGTTTGAGTAAACCCATAGTAGCTTAAAGAGGCTTTGCTGTGACTCTAGGACATACAGTCACGACAGCAAGGCTAAAGGTTCTCCACTGTTTCCTTGTGTCATCTCACCTCATCTCACCTTTTGGGCTCAAAACATGATTGATCTCTCTTACTTGTTTTCCTTTCAGTTCTGAAGTGCATAAAGTGGAAATGTCACGCTAAGCTGCACCGTAGTTTATTTGGCTAAATCTTTTCACAGAGGGAGGGAAAGTTTAGGCAAGTCCCTTGCAGAATGGAGTCTAGCTGAGACTCAGAATATGTGTAGGGCCTTGGTCTTAAATACTCACTTGTGCATAGGTTTACAGGGACATGCCATGACCATTGATAAACAAGCTTGTTTTTTAAGTCATTAGTGAGTTTATCTTTCCTTTGCCTTGGGTCAGGATCTCTTTGAATGAAAGAG